TTCGAGGATGACCCCGCAAGAATGAGATACGCGGAATGTACAAACCTTTATGAACAGCCAGGTGGCTAATAAGCAGGGCTTTAAGCTTTTGCTTGAAATTGCTTATTCAGCTTATTCAGGATTTCCAGGCTTAGTTTTAACGATCATGCTTATTTTGCTTATTTCAATGTATGAAGCTAAGTGAAGACCTTTTAAGTAAAGGGTCAAGAAATAAATTTCTATTAATTTCTGTGTATGAATAGTAGTGTCCAAGGAGTTTTGACTTCTGTTCTGATATCTCACTCTTTCCTTACGAAATAATGGAACGGGCATAAATTTTGTTGAAAACAAGAAAACAAACAAACTTTAGCATACCTTACTGCTTAAGAAAATTTGGCTCAATAAATTTTTCTTGGGATTTTTTTATTCGTCGAACTAAAGAAATGATTAAAAATAATAACATAAAAACAAATCTGGTTTTTATTTATCCGTAACTTCAATTGCATTTTTGCTTGGATACAAAAATTTAAAACCAATGGTTCGTCCCTACGGGAAGGAGAATAGCGAATATTAAAAAAAAATAAAAACGACCAATGCAGATCCCCATTATTTGAGAATATCAAGCAACACTTGTATGTTCATTGAAATTATTCAATCCTTGAAATAAACTGAATAAAAAAACAAAACGTTAAACTGTACTTATTTTTTTGTTTTGCGAGCATATTTGCAAGCATATTTATCAATGTGTTCAATGTGTGCTTACCTAAGCGCTTAAAATGGATTGTTTTGTGCTTATTTTCTTCGGCCCTGCTAATAAGGCCCTTTGATCTCATCTGGTAACATCATAACTGGTGATGGAGTGCATTAATAAGTCGGGCATACTTGAGCTGACCATCTGATTAGGAGTACTTTAAAGGGATTGTAATAAAATGCTAAATCCTAACCTATCTTAACTTCAGTTTATTCGGCGATCACGCGTCATCGGACCCGAAGCGATGCGAGAGCAATTAAAAACGTATCTTGCGGTGACCAGAGCCAAGCACCGAGTGATCAGTGGCCTAATGGAAGCATCAACATGGCTTGCATTAAGTGTATATTACTACCGTAGCACTTAATCCCAAGTGATTCGATATTTTTGCCTCAATCTTCCGAACGAGAGAACTGTCTTGGTAGTGAGGAATTTCTGAAAGGCGTTTGACACCGTTTGCCTTTGCACGCTGCTGGAGAACGTTTAGGCATCATCTCTACCACCGGCACTAAAACGGTGGAAGGCGAAATACCTGAGAGGTCGACAGTCGTCAGTAAAAACCACTTCCAGTGAAGAAGCAAGGCAAAGCCTCGGATGAGACCCCCTTTATGATGACGACCACGGCAAACGTTTAAAGGACTACGATTTGAGGGCATGCACCTGGAATGTCCGGACCCTTAATGGGGAAGGTGCCTCTGCCCGGCTGGTTGATGTCCTCGTAAGGACAAAAGCTGACATCACCGCCATCCAAGAAATGCGTTGGACGGGGCAAGGCAAACAATGTATAGGGCTTTGCGACGTCTACTACAGCTGTCATGTAAAGGAGCGCAGATTCGGAGTTGGATTTGTGTTGGGAGAGAGACTCCGTCGCCGAGTACTGTCGTTCACCCCGGTGGACGAGCGTCTAGCCACAATCCGCATCAAAGCGAGATTCTTCAACATCTCGCTCATCTGCGCCCATGCCCCGACGGAAGAGAAGGATGAGGCATCCAAGGATCTCTTCTATGAGCGCTTGGAGCGCACGTACGAGCGCTGCCCCCGTCATGATATCAAAATCGTGCTTGGTGACTTCAATGCCAGGGTGGGCAAAGAAGGAATCTTTGGAACCACCGTCGGAAAATTCAGCCTCCACGACGAAACGTCCGACAACGGATTGAGGCTGATCGACTTCGCCGGGGCCCGAAACATGGTAGTATGCAGTACTAGGTTCAAGCATAAAAAGATCCATCAGGATACCTGGATGTCTCCGGATCGAAAAACGAGAAACCAAATCGATCATGTTGTGATAGACGGAAGGCACGCTTCCAGTGTTTTAGACGTACGCACACTCCGAGGCCCAAACATCGACTCGGACCACTATCTTGTTGCAGCCAAGATACGCACCCGCCTATGTGCAGCAAAAAATGTGCGCCCAAATATGCAAGGAAAGCTTAACGTCGAAAAGCTGCCATTACAACAGACAGCCAGCGCTTTCGCTACTCGACTCTCACACCTGCTCTCAGAGAGCACTCTTCAACAAACCGACATATGCGAGCAATGGAACCACATTTACCGCTCATTAAGTACCGCCGCCGAAGAAGTAGTCGGATTTCAGCGAGCCCGAAAGAACAACTGGTACGATGAGGAGTGTCAGGAAGCTGCAGAGAAAAAAGATGCCGCCTACAGGGCCACGCTGCGATCGGGCGCAACGCGCGCTATGTGGGACCGCTATAGGGATCTGAAGGGGGAAGCGAGACGTATTTGCCGCAACAAGAAGAGAGAGGCCGAAATACGTGAGTGCGAAGAGCTTGAAATGCTGGCCGACAGGAGGAATGCCCGAAAATTTTACCAGAGAGTTAGGCGACTTACGGAAGGTTTAAAGACCGGGGCGCACTCCTGTAAGAACAATAATGGCGACCTAGTAACTGATGTCCAGAGCGTACTTAAATTATGAAGGGAACACTTTTCCGCCCTACTAAATGGTAGCAGCACGGAAAGTTGTGGAGAAGAAGAACCCGAGCCCGCAGTCGATGATGACGGAGTCGACATTCCACCGCCTGACTATGACGAGGTACGTATAGCAATAACGCGGCTGAAAAACAACAAAGCCGCTGGAGCTAACAGCCTGCCAGCTGAGCTATTCAAGTACGGCGGCGAGGAGTTGATAAGGTGCATGCATCAACTCTTGTGCAGAATATGGTCAGATGAACGCATGCCCGACGACTGGAATTTAAGTGTGCTCTGCCCAATCCACAAGAAAGGTGACCCCGCCATTCGCGCCAACTACCGCGGGATCAGCCTTCTAAGCATAGGTTACAAGGTCTTATCGAGCGTATTGTGTGAAAGACTGAAGCCCACCGTCAATGAACTGATTGGGCCTTATCAGTGTGGCTTTAGACCTGGCAAATCCACCATAGACCAGGTATTCACAATACGCCAAATCTTGGAAAAGACCCGCGAGAAAAGGATCGACACTCACCACCTATTTGTCGACTTTAAAGCCGCTTTTGACAGCACTAAAAGGAGTTGCCTATACACCGCTATGTCTGAATTTGGCATCCCCTCAAAACTCATACGGCTGTGTAAAATGACGTTGAGCAATACCACCAGCTCCGTCAGAATTGGAAAAGACCTCTCCGAGCCGTTCGCCACAAAACGGGGTTTCAGACAGGGCGACTCCCTTTCATGTGACTTCTTTAATCTGATGTTGGAGAAGATAATAAGAGCTGCAGAACTGAACCGCTCAGGAACAATTTACTACAAGAGCGTGCAATTGCTGGGTTATGCCGATGACATCGACATTATCGGTAACAAAAACCGCGAAGTCTGTTCTGCCTTTTCCAAGTTGGATAGGGAAGCAAAGCGCATGGGTCTGGTGGTAAACGAGGACAAGACGAAGTATCTCCTGTCATCAAACAAACAGTCAGCACATTCGCGCCTTGGCACCCACGTCACTGTTGACAGTTACAATTTCGAGAAAGTAAAGAATTTCGTTTACTTGGGAACCAGCATTAACACCGACAATAATGTCAGCATTGAAATCCAACGTAGAATCACTCTTGCCAACAAGTGCTACTTTGGACTGAGTAGGCAATTCAGGAGTAAAGTCCTCTCTCGACGTACGAAAACCACGCTCTATAAGTCACTCATCATGCCCGTGCTGGTATATGGCGCAGAAGCATGGACAATGACAACATCCGATGAGGCGGCTCTTGGGGTGTTTGAGAGAAAGATTTTGCGGAAGATTTACGGTCCTTTACGCGTTGGCGACGGCGAGTACCGCAGACGATGGAACGATGAGCTGTATGAGCTTTACAACGATATGGGCATAGTGCAGCGAATTAAAATACAGCGGCTCCGCTGGCTTGGTCATGTCGTTCGAATGGACACCGACGCTCCAGCTCTGAAAGTATTCAACTCGGAACCCGCTGGTGTTAGCAGAGGAAGAGGGAGGCCCCCACTGCGATGGAAAGATCAGGTGGAGAAGGACTTGGCTTCACTTGGCGTTTCCAATTGGCGTCAGTTGGCACAGAGGAGAAACGACTGGCGTGCTTTGCTGAACTCGGCCAAAATCGCTTAGGCGGTTAGAGCGCCAAAGAAGAAGAAGAAGAGAAGCACTTTCTGGTCGGTCGCTAACGCAAGAAGTATTCAAACGTCAATCATGTCAGAAGGTATCTCCACGAAATCAAGGATGATATCCAGATATACTTAGCCCAACTAATGCACCTCATAATGCACCCACAGGCCATAAACGACATTCATAGTGTGTTTTTTTATCTGCTTCAGATGATCTCGCCCCTCGCATGTCCTAAATGGAGCCCAATCTCATTCATCATCATCGCAGACCAAGAGCTTCAGCATACTAAGGTCTGAACACTGTATCCGACTGAATACTTAAATTTACAGACTCGACCCCGACATACCAAAATTATGTCCAGCTTTTGAAGGTTCCTACCTCACCTACCCACTCAGCTAACACCTCTCTTTCTTTAACGAGTTGAGCTGGATAACAACGGTTGATTGACCAGCCGAGTAGGCAGGGCTTAGTAGTGCCGCTACAAAACCAACAAAAAAAACCGTATCTAAGTTTTCTCCTCTTCAACTGTCCTTACAATTTAAAAATATGTGTCTCGATGGCCAACTTTTTTTGTTTTTTTTTTTGGATTACGAACCAAAAGGAAATATTATAAATTTTTTTCTGGATTTTTCCTTTTTTCTAATTACCCCCAAAATACGTCAAAATTCCTTTCGTATGCATACATATACATATGTATATTTAAAATCTTGTACTCACCTATATTCATGCGACATGAAGAATGTACCACGAATTGTGCAACCATTTGGATTTTTTCGCTTTCCATTGAAGATTTTTAAGTAATGATCATAGTTATTCAAATTAACAGCACCATCGAATGTCAGCATGATTATTTGAGGAATCTGTAATGCAGAAAAATTACAACAGGATTGCATAAAGAGAAACGGTAATTACAATGAAAATGATGGTAATTAAAAAAGTTTTTCTGCGCTTCGCCTGCTATGAAAAAAAAATAAAATAACACAGAATCAATCAGTTGGAAAACAGAACGCCACACCGACATTTGAACGAATGAATACACTGCTTTGTAACATTTATAGCCCTCGGACTTACTTAATTAGATGTTCGCTTAGTTGGTAGTTTTTGCTGAGCAAGCAGTAGTGGCGAGTGCAGGACAAGAAAGTGTGACAAAAAGCAAAAAAGAAAAAGAAGCAGACAGAAATGTGGCGCGCTTAAAAACGAAAAAAAAAGTTTAACTGTATAACACTGCAAAAAGAGAGACCGCCAAGAAGGAACTATAAAATATAAAAAAAGCAGTATGTATAAGAAGAAAAGAAATTTATAAAAAGAAGTCACATCAATTGCAAGTAATTTTAAAATAATCAGCACAACATAATTTATTGCTCGCTTGTCGGTGCGTTTGTATGTATGTAAGCGACGAATCTAGTTTCGGTGCGCGCGCGTGGAATACGCGCAGACTTCATGGCAGTCACACTCCTCATCCCACCCCACACCACTGTTTGCGCGTTGTGCTGTTGTGCCGCTTGTGGTGGTTAGTCGGTTGTCCTTTTGGGAGTCTACAGCCTGACCGCATAGCAATGCGTTGTAAAAGTTTAAAGTACGGCAGGAGCACGACAACAATTTGCTAGAGTAAAGTACGAGTAGTATATGTACATACCGCAAGGCGAGGAATGTGGCAACGTCCGCACGACTGGTAAGCGAAAGTGCGGAAATGTAAGAGAAAATGAATTGCGCTGATCGGAAATGGTAAAATATCAATTTCGCTTAATACATAACAGATATTTATGAGCACATTTTTTATTTACCAATACGAGCAAGAAGTTTGAAAAAAAAATAAACGAAAAGAAAAAAATCAAAACGAGTTCAATGAATGAGTGAGTGAATTGAGGGAGACCGGCTGCTGTTGTGGTTGTAGTACTTTAAATTGGAATTGAACTTAAGCCATTGCTTAGTTATTTGTTGTCGTTGGCTTTGGAAAAAGTTTGAGACATGTAGACAATACCGCGAAGGAAGGTTATGATATAAATAGATATCTAAGCTTTGTTTTTGTTTGTACTATTTTTCAATAGTCGAGTCCTGAGTTTTCAATCAAAGGCACCGCAGCTAAAAGAGCGTGTAAGGTTTTATATAATAGACTTCAATTAAATTGCAAAGAAAAAAAGTTTCGGTGTGGCCAGTCCGACTTATTTGGCAGCGCCTGTTCACCAGTGGTTGCGCACGCAAGTGGGCGCCTGTCTTGGAGCAAGCGATTACTTATATAAAAGGTGTACTCAAAAAACTCTCCTAGATTATAGGCTGTGGCTGCGCTTAGGACTTGCCATGTAAAACAATGTGGCAATGAAAAGGAAAACAAAGCCTCTTGACAATGACAATAGGGAAAGTGGGTATTGCCGGCTAGATGATGCCTTCGAAATGATAAAGGCTGAGATCACCACTGGACGGAGCAAGACAAGAGCAGCGATGCGGCTGAAGACGCACACCGTGCCCTTTTTCAATTTTAGTGCGCCAACAATGGTGATATTGGCGTTTGGTAATGTAAGTGATGACCTGTGTTCACATGCAAACGGTTATCCCTCCGAACTTTCTAGCCTTACTCTCTCCCCACAGAATCCTCGGCAACCATTTTTACCTCCCTCCTGGACGAAAGAGTTCAAGCTACAGAAGGTTATTCACGTCGGCGGCGAACTAATTTCGATGGTAAATAACCCGAAAATTCATCGAGTAAACATCGCAATAGTCAAAAAAGTACAGAGCAGCAAGAAAGTCTTCAAATGGGTCGCCGGCAGCGCAAAGCCAAAGAAACGCTATTGCCAACATACAAGGCAATTGGTCAATCGGTTAAAAACTATGCAATGCCAATGTGGTCGCCGGAGAAAAGTATGACGCAGCTTCGGACGTGCCACAAGACAACACTTCGGACAATCACAGGATGCCTTCTGATGTCGCTTGAACATTACATCACAGTGAGCCCCAACTGATCCCAATTAAGAGGTACAATATCTATTATTCTCTGTAAGCGGTTCCTAGCAGGGTGCTACAAAAGTGAGCACCCGAACAGACACTTGTTCGATGCGGAGCGCTCACACAGGCATCTCAGAAGACTGCACTGTGAGGGGAAGGACGAGCTGTGTTACCTCCTATACAGACTCCCGCCCTGTGAATGTCGTCATCGATGTCCAAATGCTACATGTGAACGAGAGTGAGCTTCGATTGCCGCGAAAGATCCCCATTACTTTGGCCCAATTACGGTCTGGATAATGTAGCCGTCCAAAGAGTTTCCTATCGAGACTATGTAGAACTCAAAATCCTTAACGAGTGGCCAGCATGCGCAGATTCCGCCCACCATACCAACCACCTCTTTGCATGCCTACTCAATCCAACTCAACTAACGTCCCATCACGTTAGCAACAGCAACAAAATAAGTTTTAAGGCCACTTTAGTTATCTAGTCCATTTGGGATTGACAAAGGAGTATCACAGACAGATTTCGAGCTTTGAAGTCATGCTCAAAGTAAAATATATGATGGGGAGAAATTTACCAAATGTTTGCAAATCAATATCGATATATCCAGCAACAAGAAGAAAATGTAAGCTTGTATTTGTTGTATTTTAGAGGTGAAGTTATATGGACGTGAGATTGATTATTTAATACGACGAGGGCCAGACAAGCACTTTTCAAACTTATTTGCTCGCGCTCTCTCTTTTCCTCTCTATCCAAAGACATTACTAATGACACGCCAATAAACGCATGTTTGCTTAAAAAAAATTCACATTTCCATTCATTACGAAGAGCTAAGTAAATAGCATTAACACTATCCACCAACTTACATACATACATATATACTTATGTACATATGTATTTTTATGAAATGGAAAGCTCTCGTAAATCGCTCAATTCAACGACAATCGAAATCCACAAACTGTGGTCGGCGTAACTCAGCTGCTTTGCGTTTTTCAATAGCTTTTTCATAAATGTAATCAGCGCTTATAATGCAGCAATAATGCATTATTCACCAGCTGACCATAATGCAGAGAGTACACAAAGAAATATTGCAAAAAGTAAGTGAGTTATGATAAGGGATTGCTTAAGAATCGCCCGCACACAAATAAAACGCATTGATGATTTCATGCATTTCCTGTGGTTTTTATAGTACGAGTAAGTATCTACTTTTCTTTGCTACTCGTTTCGCGTTCATCACACACAATCATTAGGGGTATTCTCTGAGTCTTGCAAAGCCCTTGCATGGTGCACAGACTGCACGAATTGCACGGTAAAAACCGGTTTTCGTATGGGACAGCTTTGAAAACCGTGCAATCCGTGCACCGTGCAAGGGCTTTGCAAGACTCAGAGAATACCCCTATTATTTTTATGATTTTCTTGTTCGTTTTTTTCCCCCCCAACGTGATTTATTCTCGAGACGGAAGTTCGCGTTGAAATATGCCATTCAATATTATGCAAAATTCAGGACAAATAAAGCGCGCCATCAGCATATAACCAGTTCAATTCGTTAGCAAGTGTTTGGTTGCTTGGCTGGTTGGTATCTGGCTGATTGTCGTCCGCCGTTAAGTATGCAATGAAAATGAGGAAGCTTTTGCTTTTGTATGTACAAATCTACGTCTATAGCATATGTATGAATGGCTGTAGAACAAAATGGTATAAAAGATTTGTGTTGCACTTAGCGACGTGCAACTGTCAACCGAAGCGCAAATGGAAGTGCAATAACAAAAGAAAAAAAAGAAAAATTGAAAAAGAATGAAAAGAAAATCGAAGGAAAACATTGAAGCATAGAAATTGCGGTACTTCTTTCTATTCTGTAGCCGATAATAGTGTGAATTGTAGCACACACTCCACAGGCGGCGTTGTCATTAATCGTTACTTGTGGCGTCACCTTGTGTTTGTTGCTTTTGCACTGACTGCACAACCAACTTGCAATATTTAATGGCCGAACGGATATACGTACGTAGTCGATACATATACATATATACTTACTATACGCAATTGCGCGCGCAATTTTCGCGTGGTGCTATTCTTTTTGTGGATTGTCGCTTGGCTTTGGTTGGAGATTGAACTTGTAAACGATTTCTGGTGTTAGTGAAAATAAAGTGGTTTGCGTAAAGCAGCAGAATAATACTTAGCGAGTGAAAGATTTGATATATTCAAGGAAGTAGATGTTGCAATTTCAAGGGATTTAATTTTTTATAGCCTTCCATTGCCGTTCAATAGAAAGGAGATGGAAAGATGTAACACATTACCGTTAAATTTTCCTATTGTTAATGCTCTATTTTTCGTTTGATCCCCTTAGTCTGTGCTCGTTTTGTTTGGTTAGTGGTGATACATTAATCGATTTTAGAAGGCAATATGGTGTTGATACTTTTTTTTTAAGAGGTTTCCTCTTGCTTTGGTTAAGAGAGACAGGGCAATGGGAATCGGGATTGCTGGGTCACTCTTGCATTCTGAAAAAATATAGCTTTCTTCCGGGCTGTACAGACCGTTGTATAGAAACTCTGGTTCCGGATAGAAACTTGGTCATGAAAACCCCAAGCAGAGAGGAATGGGAATAAAACTACTATACTCCACTCGGTAGTATAGTAATTTTTACAACCGGTTCAAAAATGAGCGGCGGAGTGGGAGGGGGTTGAGGTTTTTTTCCCGAAGCCCTGCCCTGAGCCTGGAGGCTGTAAATGAACTTCGTACTGATTTAAAAGGTAAAGAGGTGTCCTTTAGTGACAGCCGGGTAGCAATTAAAGCTGTTAGCTCCGTCACAATTAAATCAAAAATTGTGCTGGACTGCCGCCGATCTGTTGCAGAGAACTGTGCAGAACAGTCTAAACCTAATTTGGGTACCCGGTTATAAGGACATTGAGGGTAACTGCATGGCGAA